GTCAAATTGTACCCTATACTGATGGTACTATGCAGGCTGAACCTAAAGTCAAGAGTTGTCACCCAGTACACATTCTAATGAATGATTCATAGAAGCTCTCAGCTTTTTCTGGATAACATTAGCATGCAGGCTCTCATAAAAGTGAAGCCACAAGAACTGACAGTTTTTTATAGTCACTAGATCAGAGCTAGCTTATATGTATAAGCAGAAGATAACAAACTCCACTGAAGCACAAAGGATGGAAACTATTGATATAAGGGTTCTTTTACAAAGCCTCATGTACATCAGGCTCCATTTGAAGAAGCTCTATGTACACAGTGCACAGGAGCCTCAAACTGTAAGTAACAAAATCACTGTCACTTCTATGTTCAGTAAACAGAGGAAAAATCAGGTACTGGAAGTGTGCGGATCTCCCTCCAATCAAGCCGCACACACCCCTTGTGTCAGTCCTGGGCCCACACAAGGGACAGAGGAGCCTCGATAGAAGACAAAGGGGGGGAAAGGGCACTCTTTTTAGTAGCATGCAAGTGATCTGGCAGCTCTAGAGCCGCCCAAGCACTTGTATGTGAAAGCCCCATGCTGGCTGAAAACAGCAATACCAAGATTTTGGTTTTAACCTTTTTAGGATCACTACATTTATATATAAAGGAGAACGGCACCTTTGCTTTACAAATCAATGTTGGACTGAGCCTAGCACACCTATTAAATCAGCAAAATAAGTTCCACATGAACTTAGATTTTTCCATGGTCTGCCTAAGTTAGCTCTATTGCTAAAATAAAACAATATGATGGCCGCTAACCGATCATCCCAAGTACTCTCCTCTGCATCCCAGCATTCAATGTACTTGAGGAAGCTCACTCTTGTCCTTTCCCTCTGTCCACATACACCCATCTGGTAGCCAATTGGTGGACATGTTCAGACGATTTAGACGCATTCACAAGCTCACCGTTCTACCTCATCAGCACTGAAAGGAAAAGTTAAACTCCTGTCTCTGGCATTATACACTCGGTTGAAGCTGACAGTACCCAGTAAGTAAGCAAAGTTTTGCTTATGTTCAAGTTTCAACCAACCGGCTCCCCCTCTGGCCTGATAGCCAATTGGTTGAAACTCCAAGATTAACAAAATCTTGCTTTCTTACTGGGTGTTTTCAGTTTTGAGCAATGGCAAAGACAGGTGTATTACTCTTCCCTCCAGTGCTGCTGAGGTAGTGTGGAGAGCATGTGAATGCCTCTAAATCTAGAAAAGAGTGAGGATATGACCCTCCAATGGGGAATTAAATCACAATATCAATAAACCAAAATGTAGAGACTAATAAATTCATAAATATACACTGCCAGTCCAAAAGAAAGTCACCACCTGGATTTAGCTTAGCACATAGGTCAGAGCCTTCCATTGGATAATAGATCTAGGTCCAGCAATGTTATGTGCTTAAAAAATTAGGTCAGCTGCCTACCCGAATATACTGAAGTACCAGGTTTTTCCATCAATGGATTTTTTCTTCCCTGATGGCACAGGCATATTATAAGATGACAATGTCAGGATTCATCAGGCTACAATTGTGAAAGAGTGGTCCAGGGAGCATGATACATCATTTTCACACATGGATTGACCACCAAAGAGCACATAACCGAACTGAGAATCTTTGGGATGTGCTGGAGGAGACTTTACGCAGTGACCCAACTCTCCCATTGTCACTACAAAATCTTGGTGAAAAATAAATGTAGCTCTGGATGAAATTAAATGTTGTGGCATTGCATAAGCTTTTTGAAGTGATGCCATGGCAAATGTGTGCCATAATCAAGGCTAAAGGTGGTCCAATTAAATATTAGAGTATGTGACTTTTTTTTTGGATAGGCAGTGTATGTATACACTCTAAAAAAAATAGTTTGTGAAGACTTTTATAATATGTTTAAAATCATATAACTTTATTTAATATACAGGTGAAACTCGAATAATTAGAATATCATGCAAAAGTAATTGCAGTAAGTGCTGCAAAAGGGGCCCAAACCAAGTACTGAGTACATATGCATGCTTGTACTTTTCAGAGGTCCGATATTGTTCTATATACAATCCTTGTTTTATTGATTGCATGTAATAATCTACTTTTTTTGAGGTTGTGGATTTGGGGTTCTTGGGGTTTTCATGAGCTGTAAGCCATAATCATCACAATTATGACAAATCACGCCTTGAATTATCTTGCTTTGCATGTAATGAGTCTATCTCATATATTAGTTTCACCTTTTAAGTTGCATTAGTGAAATAAATGAACTTTGCACGATATTCTAATTATTTGAGTTTCACCTGTAATATCACTACTATAACCACTAGCCAGAGAGTACTAATAAACCATCCATTAGAACTTGTGCTGACACAATATCCTACTACACAATCTCTACACATATGGCCACATTCTGCAAACAATTCACAAAAGTTATATTATAAGCTATTGAAGGCATTTTCAACTGGTACCTCATATTTCTATTAAACGTCCAGCAGATCCACAATGCAAAATGCTTAAACAAAGTTGAACCTGGAAATAACACAGTTATCTGTGTTTTTGTTTGTATATACAGTATACCTTTCCTGGTCCACGTAGGTGAAGAAATAATCACTCTGATTAAAGTTATAATTTCACTTTGGACAGTTATGTTATTGTGCAACACACTAGATACTAGACGTATCAGTTTTTCTGACGTTTTGGTGCATTGCCAGGCAATTTATCTGAATAGGCTGCTTAATACAATGAATGTTAGCACAACCCACCAGGAAATCAAAGTGAAAACTGACTGAGGACCACAAAGGAGCTATAGGGCTAAATGCTGCCCCAAAACACCAGTTTGACATTCCTGACTTAAGTTGTCCATACCCAGATTAAATATTGGCCTTATTGCTGAACCAGATGAAATTCAAACCATGGGTGGCCTTGCCGGCACCACATGGCTTGACAAACGTCAATCTGAAAACAAAAGGGCCTGGGTGGAAGATTGCTGGCTGAATAGTGCCTGCAGCCAATCAGCAGAAGTCACTGTTGGAATAACCCGAGAGCCGCAGGCGCTGGCTGCCAGAATACAATAGCTGTCAGCAAAGATTCCCCAATCCAGGCTGCTTAATGGGGGTTGGAAAATCAATGAAGTCTTAAGGCCTATGAAAAGTTTTAGTTAGACTTGGAACATGCTTGGGCATCCAACAAGGTGCTAGTGCTGCAGTGTGCACCTTCTAAGGCTAGGTTCACACTTGCATCTGCATTTTCCATGGGGTTTTTTTGGGGTGTATTTTTGGTCAATGACAAGCAATATGTTCTATGATATCGTTAGGTGTCGTCTTCCTCAGTCTGCTGTTTGCCTCTGTAGTTGCACTGCAAACACGTAAATAGGGTACAACATCCCAATCTTCAAACTTCACTCTTCTTGGGCAATTTCTTCGCACGCCTTAGGATGCCTGCTGCAATCTTTGTATCAAATCCTACAGCAATGGCCTCCCTCCTACCAGGCAAATGAAGGCTTCGACATCCAGCATTCTGTGGCTTTGTCTCTCCATCTCCTCTACAGCATGTGTAGAGTCGAAGTTGCATGGGGGCAAAAAAAAGCATTAAAAAATGCATGTAAATGTATTTATGATTCCATTAACGTCTAAGGGCCACAATTGCACAAAAAGAAAGACAAGGAGCAATTATTAACCCCTTCATGACTGAGGCCTTTTTTCCATTTTTGCACCCATGTACGAAAGAAAATCTCATAGACGTTATCAAAAAAGTGCACACATTTGAAAGGGGAGTAATAACACCTTGCATATTTATAGTTTTCTTTTGAGTGGTTGTCTACATGCATGCACACACCACAGCTCTTGCATGTTCCTTCCAAATGTCACAGCTGGAATTTTAATTATAAGCCATTGGCTCACCCTTCCCAACCCTACCCCGTGTAGAATGTGGTCACCCTCCTGTACATAGCTGTCAAATGGCTCTCAAAACACCAGAACAATGCCTGCACATCCAATCAGACTGTTCAGGTATTTTGACAGCCAGCTGGGCTGACCAGCAAGATCCTGAAGCTTGGCCCAGCAGGATATTTCTAAATCCAGTTTAGCGTAGATGGAGGAATTGGTTGCACTTTTTCCATATGACCATAGAAAATCTGCAGATACTGTATAGTTGTATAGCCAGCTTTAGGTGCAAAATTGGGCCACAAAATGCACATTGAGGGGAATTTATTAAAACTGGAGCATGGCAACCAATCAGCTTCTTTCTTTTATTTTCAAATCTTAACTGAACAAGCTGAAGAGAGAAGCTGATTGGTTGCCATGGGCAACTGCTCCAATTTTGATAAATTCCCTTTATGTTTTTTCAGATGCTCCTAGTGAAGTCTATAAGGTCAAAAATGCACAATTCTCCCTAAAAAGAAGCTTGTGTACGTTTTCACACACAACACTGAGATTTGAATGGGTACCATTGACAATAATGGGATTCTTCAGGTTGAGTGTTGTCATGCTTCGAGAAACATGTGACAAGAAAAGAAAGCTAAACCATGTGCAGTCTTCTTCAACACACACAGTTATCTGTGCCCTGACTACCACAATAAGTCATTGCTTGTGTCATGTGTAGCCCTGTGTTGGAGAACCGAATACCATAGAACACCCATTCACCCAGAGCGGTTATTTCCCTTCCCCTAACACCCCTCAGCAGAGACGCCATACCCAACAAGCACTCCCACACCGAAAGGTGGCGGCTGCTACTGCATCACTGGGGTTTCCTAGGCGGCTTCGCAGGGTTGTCATATGGCCCCTCCCAGGGGAGGAGAGACGTCGGAAGCCGGCAGGGGTAGCCCAGGAAACCCCGGACATGAATGACACCCGTTCCATTAGCTGCGCGCGTGCCCCGTAACGTGTGCGCGTTCGCGAGGGAGGGGTGGGACTGGCTGCCAGCGGCGTGAGCTCGGCTCTCTCGGCCGCCATTTTACAACAGCCACACTCCGCCGGACAAGGAGCTGTTACTACTACACGAGGGTCGCACTCGTGCAACGCCGTGACACCCGAGAGCAGAGCAGGCAGCCCGGATACAGCCAGCACCCGCCCGGACCGGGACAGGTAAGTGAGCGGCCTTCTCCGTTTTGCTGGTTGTGCAGCCGGCGCCTATGGAAAATGGATTCCAGCAGGAGCACGTTGGCCGCGGCTGCTTGGGGCGGAGAGGCCCGGGGAGCATGAGCCGTGCAAGCAAAGCGGCATTGCATCCCAGGGGAAAGGGGGTGATAGTACAGAGTGCTGGCTACGTGTGCTGCTCCGGCCCGGAAGCATGGCGGGGGGGGGAATGG